CCAGGAATGGTGGGGGGGACCCTTTCTGGCCCATGGCCAGCTGCCCTGTCGTGGGAGATCCGGGTGGGATGGGGTGAGACGAGGGGGGCTCAGGAGCTGGAAAGTCCCCGACTGTATGGAGGGAAAGGAAACGCAGGCAACCCAGGGCCGTTAACCTGAGGGACTCGCCTCTGCAGGGCGAGGGACTCTGTGAGCTTGGGCAGGTCGGGGTCCTGGTGCGGCTGCCTCTGTCCCTGGCTGGGGCGGAGAGATGGAGAGGGGGGGTGGCCTGCAGGAGGGCAGGGTGGCTGCAGAAGGGGAGGGGCTGCTGGGGGGAGGGGCATCCCACCCCCATCCTGGCCTCCCCAGCCAGCTCTGAGCCCTCCTCTGTGTCTTTGTCCCCAGGTGGCCCCATGGCCGGCAGCAGGTGGGGCTGAGCTGCAGGGCCAGGCCGCCATGGGGAGCATCTACAAGGAGTACTTCAACCGGCAGAAGATCCAGGAGCACTACAACTACACCAAGGGGGTGACGGGGTCCCTGGGGCGCAGCGCCACCTCCCACTTCATCGTCGGGCTGTGCTGCCTCATCGTGCTGGAGAACTTGCTGGTGCTGGTGGCCGTGGCCCGCAACAAGAAGTTCCACAGGGCCAGGCCGCCATGGGGAGCATCTACAAGGAGTACTTCAACCGGCAGAAGATCCAGGAGCACTACAACTACACCAAGGGGGTGACGGGGTCCCTGGGGCGCAGCGCCACCTCCCACTTCATCGTCGGGCTGTGCTGCCTCATCGTGCTGGAGAACTTGCTGGTGCTGGTGGCCGTGGCCCGCAACAAGAAGTTCCACTCGGCCATGTTCATCTTCATCGGCAACTTGGCCGCCTGCGACCTGCTGGCCGGCTTGGCCTTCATGGCCAACGTGCTACCTTCCGCCGGACGCCGGTGGAGTGGTTCGCCCGGGAGGGCACGGCCTTCGCCACGCTGGCCGCCTCGGTGTTCAGCCTGCTGGCCATCGCCATCGAGCGCCACGTGGCCATCACCAAGGTGAAGCTCTACAGCAGCGACAAGAACTGCCGCATGGTGCTGCTGATCGGGGCCTGCTGGGCCATCTCGCTCGCCATCGGGACCCTGCCCGTCCTGGGCTGGAACTGCCTGGGCCGCCTGGAGGACTGCTCCACCCTTCTGCCCCTCTACTGGTGCTGCTGATCGGGGCCTGCTGGGCCATCTCGCTCGCCATCGGGACCCTGCCCGTCCTGGGCTGGAACTGCCTGGGCCGCCTGGAGGACTGCTCCACCCTTCTGCCCCTCTAC